ATCTCCTCTTAATTAAACAGATGATCAAATATCCAAGAGTCTTATTGCTTTCTCTTTTTGAGTTACTGCTTTTGTAATGCTCTGAAAATATTCTTTCTTTCTTTCTTTCTTTCTTGTCTAAAATTTTACATATGTCTCCTTTTTCCCTGCTTGACCCCCACCTCCCAGCCATTCCCACCCCTGGCAAGCCCCCACTGCCCCAGTGTCTGTGTCCATTGGTTATGCTAATATGCATGCATACAAGTCCTTTGGTTGCTCTCTAACCCCTCCCCCGCATCCCCCGCCATTTGTCTCTGGATCTATTCTTGTTCATCAAATTATGTTGATCATTTTATCCCACATATGAGTGAGATCATGTGATATTTATCTTTCTCTGACTGGCTTATTTCGCTTAGCATAATGCTCTCCAGTTCCATCCATGCTGTTGCAAATGGTAAGAGTTCCTTCTTTTTTACAGTGGCATAGTATTCCATTGTGTAGATATACCACAGTTTTTTAATCCACTCATCTGCTGATGGGCACTTAGGTTGTTTCCAAATCTTAGCTATTGTAAAGTGTGCTGCTATGAACATAGGGGTGCATGTATCCTGTTAAAAGTGGTTATTTCTATGACCTGAGGTTATGGATCAGACTTCCACATTTCTAGCTATCTACCATCAGCATGTATTTACTTTATTTAAAATGGAAAACAATTCACCTAAAAATGGCAACAATGATTCAGCAGTCTCCCCCTTGCCCCCTGAAGGAAGCACAGGCTTATCATTAAAGGGTATTAAAGGGCTCATAGTTGTGATTACAACAATTACTATGATTCTTAAAAGCCCAAAACAAACAAACAAAAACACAACAGGGTAGGCTCCTAGGACATCTTAGGACAGCCGAGAAGAAGAGTGCCATGGGGTTTCCCACCAAATGTCCATCGATTGTCACTGTGAAAGGTTTAGAAATGGAAGCCAGGATGAGCCTCTAACCTCTCTGTCCACGAGTTCCTGGAGGCTGTACTAGTAAGTCCCAGGGGCCAGCCCAGCACAGTGTTGAGTATGTGTGAGACATAGAACACCGCCCCTCCTGCGGGAAGCCATCACTTTCCCAATACTGTCATGAGAGTGCACCATGGAACACAAAAGGCTGATGGACCTTGAGCGTTAATAGGGCTGTGTTGAGATAGTGGTGACTCAAAGCAATTTCCTGACCTAATGACCTCAAAGTATATGTTTACTGGACCTTACTGATCTTTAATGATCTTTATTGACCTTAGAGACAGTCTGTCTGCTACCTGTTTGCCGTGCTTTACTGAGGGCAAGGTGTGTATTTAAAACTGAATAAAAAGCAGATAAGGCCAGGTTTCGATGTGCCTCTCCAAGAGAGAGGTCTCCACCTGGCTACCCATGCCTTTCAAGTTCATATTTCTTGTCTAGTGTTTTCATTTGTGCATCAGCCCCTCCTTCAGATCCTGAACCCTAGCTGTGCAGGTCACAGCACCACCACCCACCCCCCCCAAGGTATCTTGTTAAGATATGTTCATGAAGTGACAAAGTGATTTCCCCATGCTGGGGCAGAAAATGGAGAGGAAAACAGATGAACGTCATCCCTGGGAGAGAACACAGCATACATTCTAACTCTGGGCTAAGTCAGAGTGTGGCTGAGGTAATCCAGGGAAGCTGGGGGGAATTAGTAGGGTTTAGACTCGAGGAACAGAAAACAGGGCAGGACTTTAGGAGTTGGGCAGACGGGAATGAGGACAGCCTGAGAGATGCTGGATTAAGCAAAGCAAGACTGGAAGACCTAAGGGAGCAGGGCCTCACTAGAAAATTCCAAGTTCAAGTGCTAAATCAAGCCTGATGGTGGAGGGCCCCAGGCAGCAGAGTTCATGCATAGAGAGGTGAGAAGAACAAAGGGAACCAGAGACCTAGCCCCTTCTCCACATGATCAGGGGCTTCTTAGTTCGTGCAGGTCACAGCCCCCTCCCCTCAAGGTATCTTGTTAAGATATGTTCATATTAAGATATGTTCATGAAATGACAAAGTGATTTCCCCATGCTGGGGAGAAAATGGAGAGGAAAACAGATGAACGTCATCCCTGGGAGAGAACACAGCATACATTCTAACTCTGGGCTAAGTCAGAGTGTGGCTGAGGTAATCCAGGGAAGCTGGGGGGAATTAGTAGGGTTTAGACTCGAGGAACAGAAAACAGGGCAGGACTTTAGGAGTTGGGCAGACGGGAATGAGGACAGCCTGAGAGATGCTGGATTAAGCAAAGCAAGACTGGAAGACCTAAGGGAGCAGGGCCTCACTAGAAAATTCCAAGTTCAAGTGCTAAATCAAGCCTGATGGTGGAGGGCCCCAGGCAGCAGAGTTCATGCATAGAGAGGTGAGAAGAACAAAGGGAACCAGAGACCTAGCCCCTTCTCCACATGATCAGGGGCTTCTTAGTTCTACTTTTGTTTCACTCTATTGAAAACCTCCAAAAGGTCAGTTGAGAGAAAAACAGGAAGTGGGAAACAAAGGGCTGGAGATGCTGCGTGGAAGGTGGCTGATACAATCTCCTCCTGAGCCCTGTTTTCAAGTAAAGAAGTTTAACGATGCCTTTTTTTTTTTTAACGCAAATGTAACAGGCTCCATCTAGGAGCAATAACAAGGAGCATTTATACAAAGGCAAGTCCCAACCTGTTGGTTTCTGGACAAGGGAGGCAAGTCAAACCTTATTTCCTATAGCACAAGGACATAAGTCGGGGTTCCAGTCGTAGAAATCTATTTTCTACCCTGAAATACCTAACTTCACTAAACATGCAGATAGAGACTTATACAAACATTCACTAAACATGCAGATTGAGGCTTATACAAACATTTGTTAAATATGCAAAATATGTCGCTGCTGGGAATTTCTCCCGGATGGGCCCTAACTGGTTAAAACTTCTGTTACCTCAGTCTGATAAAGTATGGACTAGAGACACCATTTTCATTCGATAAATCTGTAGCAGGCGTCATAGCTGCAGGAATCCCCCAACCACCTTCAAGTGGGGCCTTCAGCTTCTCGGTCTCACTAATTCAGGCCTCCAGAGACTGAGGATCAGTGACTGCAGGGGCAACTCCTCGGGCTCCGCTGAGCTGGCCCTCACCCCCATGTCAGAGCTCCCCGGCCCAGTTCGCAGATGCCATGGGCAGAAGACCGTGGTCAGGTGGTGGCAGCATGGACGTGAGCCCTCCCTGTGCGCGTAGGCTTAGGTTCCTGTCTAACAGGCACCTGCTTCACCCCCAGACAATATCCCTGGGTCTCTGGCCCAGGAGTCGCTGATAAATATTCTCATTATTCGCATTCACTCAGGTCCTTTGAATGGAGCCACCTGCCAGACTGAATGTGCCCCTCCCCCGCCTCACATGTTGAAATTTGATTTCTAATGTGATATTAGGAGGTTGGGCCTTAGGGAGATGATTAGGTCATGAGGGTGGAGCCCTCGGGAATGGGATTGTTATAAAAAGGCCCCAGAGAGCTAGCTCCCTTGTGCCTTTCACCACGGGACCCAAAGAGGTGTCATCTCTGAACCAGGAAGTGGGCTGCACCAGGCTTGGAATCTGCAGGCACCTTGAGCTTGGACATCCGGCCTCCAGAACGGTGAGGAATAAATTTCTGTTCTTTATAAGCCGCCCCGCCCCGTCTATGGTATTCTGTTGCAGCAGCCGTAGGGACTAAGATGCCGTCCTCTCCCTCTGCCTGTCCCACATCCTGTTCCTTCAGATTGTTCTTTTCCATTTGCTCCCTTTCAGCTCTTGCAGAGCAGATGTGGGGTGTGGTCAGGACCCTCCAGTACATTCTAGTAAAGAGGGGCTACTCCCCTGAGGGGTCCCTTCACAAGTTCATCTCCAGGGCTGTGTCTTGGGGCCTCTCCCCAGGGCCACCAATGGCCACTGCTCACTTCACTGCTGACTGCCACCTGGCTCTCCTGGCTGGGGGACCGACAGGACAAATGCCCCTCTGCATACTGGCCTCAGCATCCTGTGTCTCGTCAGGTTTTCCCTCACTGCTTCCTGGGCACTTCACTGTGTAAACGACTGTTTTGTCCCGTATTGGAAAAATTACATACAGTGTGTAGATTATTTTGGATGCCGACTGGGAAAAGTCCTACTGATTTAAAATGTAGTGAAAGGATTTTTCCAAAATGGTGAGGAGGGTTAGGCAAGTTTTCTGTAGGTCAATTTGGCAATACGCAATAAAATCACTAAAGAGGATTCTCCCCTTGACACAATAATTGCACTGCTACGTAGTTAGCACTTACCTTGACTATCGATTATCATGGTGAAAAGTGAAAACTATTTGTCCAATAATAATGCAATGGGTAATTCTGTGACGTGAACTATCATACAGCCATTGACTATGTTTTTGAAGAATATTAAACAGCTTTGAAAAATGTGCTTAATATTCGGTAAGAAAAGCATTATGCTTAATGGTATGCTTATTTACAAATCTGAATATTGGTAGATTAACAGTGGTTCTACCATATGTGGTGGGAAAAAAGGTTGTTTTTATATATTTTTCTTTTAAAAAATATTTTTCAAGATTTAAAAAAAATAATCAACGTATATTAGTGTTGTCAAGAAAAAAAGTACTGTAGTTGTTCTAAAATGATGTGATTTCCTCACCAGGTAGCATCTTGTCTTAGCCCAATAATGCATTCCCAGAGCAGGCAGGGACTCTGGTGGTCCTCAGCCCTGCTCAGGCTAGGAGCAGCAGAGCTGCTAGAACACTAGCGCCTGCCCCAACCCCAGAAGTTCTGAGTTAACTGGCTTGTGGCCCAGTGATGGTCATCCTTACAGCTCTCGTGTGGTCCTAGGGGTCGCCAGGACTCTCAGCATCTGCCTCTTCCTTCAAGCCCCTAGGGAAGGGGTCTGAGAAACCTCACAGACGTCTTCAGGGGCTTGTGGTGTCTATGCTGCATGTCTGAGGCACTCAGAGCTGCCTGGAGAGCCTGTCCTGGCGACAAGTGACCTCACACTCCTTGGAGGCGGCAGTGGGAGAGGGTGGGAGTTTGCCACAGGTTTTTATGGAATTCCAGAGGGGAGAGCATGAGCTTGTGAAGAAACTGGGAGGGAGAAAGGGAGAGCTGGACACTGATGTGACTGATGTGACTTCCTTCAGGTTCCCAGGAGGGTGGCCCTGCCGAGAACAAGAGACGATGAGCCCCCCCAGAGCCAGGCGGGGCGACCAGCTGCTGTTCCTGGGCATCATGGTCCTCGCGGTTCTGGCTGTCTTCCTGCTGTTCTACGCTCTCCTCTGGCAGGCGGGTGACCTCATCAACATGCCCAACCTGAGAATCGGCTTTTACAACTTCTGCCTGTGGAACGAGAGCGCAGGCCGCCTGCAGTGCCACCAGTTCCCTGAGCTGGAGTCCCTGGGGCTGCCTTGGGGTGCCCTGGCCCTGGCCAGGTTCGGCGTGTATGGGGCCCTGGTCCTCACCCTCTTTGTCCCCCTGCCTCTGCTCCTGGCCCGCTGCCACAGGAGCGAGGGTGAGTGGCATCTGGCAGTGTGCTTCCTGGCGATGGCCTCCATGCTGCTGGCCGGGGGCCTGGGCCTCTTCCTCACCTACACCTGGAAGTGGATCACGATCTCCCTCCTGGGGCCTGGATTTCTAGCTCTGGCCGCTGCCCAGGCCTTGCTGGTCCTCTTGCTTATGGCCACAGTCATGTTCCCCCAAAAGGCAGAAGATGACAAGAGCAAGTAGAAGAGACACTAGTCCTGTCCAAAGGCTCACATGACTGCCAGGGCTGTTTGAAGGAGGCTCAGATAGGTGCCAGAGGACTCATGAGTTGTTTCCTCAGCCACCCTGCATCGTAGCTGATACTGATCTCAAGCTTGAGCAGATGGGCCCCACGGAAGAAGGGGCACCCACATGAAGGAGGCCCCGGCAGTAAGGGTGACTGGGCCCTGCGGCTTCTTAGTGTTGGCTTGTCTATCCTTTGGGACTGCTAACACCACGTAGCTCCTTGTCATGAGAATTCCTGCTATAATTAGCTGATCTGAGCAAACCATTCTTACTTCATTCTCAGGATGTTGGCCAGAGAAGGGTTCCTGTCCCAGGGCCAGATTTCCAGGATGATTGGTCAAAGGCCAAACTGAGACCCCGGGAAGGTTCATGGTGACAAATGGGGAACACTGAGGCCACCTCAGTGTCCCCGGGGCCCTGGTTAGCAAGCTTCTTCCTTCCCCTTCCCTCCCCAAGACACCACTCCCAAAGGCACAGGAGAGATCTCAGAGGAAGTCCCTGAAGTTCCCCTAAGGCTGAGGGACCCCAAGCCAGACACCAGGGGAGTGAGTTGGCACGACCTGGGAGTCCGGAAGCAGACCATGCTGAAACCTTGCGGGGGCGGGGGCAGAGAGGGTGAACAGGACTGAATGGTTCCACAAATGCTGCATCCCTTCACTGCTCAAGCTAGACCTAGAAAGAATACAAGCACCACTTCTGCATGGGGAATTGTACTTTTCAGCACTATATATTGAAAAGCTGTATAGCAATGGTCGCCTCACTCTCTGCCTGCCAAAAGCCACACTGAATACAGAGGCAATGTGGACTCTGCCCTGACCTGTTGTCCTTAGCGTCCACTTTGGGAGCCTGTCCCACATGCACTTTCAGAGTGGCCAGGGATCAAGGCCAAAGCCACCAAGTAGAAGGAAGGGGGCAGCTCAGAAGAGGCCTGTCTGATGGGTAGAAGGCTTGGACCAAAGGTACCCCGGGAGCGCTAAACTCCCAGACAGAGCAGAGCACGGTGGGCAGAATGTCTTCAGGGCTAAGAGGGAGGCTCAGGGATTGACTGGCTGCCTGTGAGGGAAACTCTAAATTTGGCTTCCTGCTCACAGAGAGATGGTGCTGCCTAAACTGGACAATTCTGGTGTATTTAGCAGCCATACCTTTTTCTGTTTGAAAGGTATTAAATTGATGCCAGTACGTCTGACCCTGCGACCTCATTTTCCTGGGAGCCTGGTCACTGAATACACAGACCTGGGGATTGCAGACCCCTGTGCCCGGGGAGGACAAGGCAGAGGGGAATTCTAATGGCAGTTCATTCGGATCCCTCACTTCCCAAGGCTGGGTGTCCTGGGCTTCTGGCTGCAAGCCCGAGGGTATGGAGCTGGGAGCAGTCCCCAGGCAGAGCCAAAGCCCCGTCCTAACGTCCTGGGCACCTGTCCCTCAGCTGAAGACTGTCTCCCTGTACTTGAACGCATCCTGGTCTTCCTCAGGGCTGCTGCTGCAGGCAGGCTCCAAGCCCGCAGACCCGTGAGGCCGCCCAGCCTGCGGGGAGGCTGCTTCCCACTGTCCTCACCCGCACTTCTCTCGGGAGAAGCCGGCTCCTCCGAGCAGGTGGGGGACAGCTCTGGCTGATCAGTGCCTGCCAGGGCAGCTGCGCCAGGGCCTTCTCCAGGTTTCAGTTCCCAATCAGGACACCCGAGCAACATTGACAAGTTGGGCTTCACTGCGGACGTCTGGCTGCAGCCCAGGCACCGCCGCCATTCTCCTCCTCTTCGGGGTCTTCGCCAGCAACATCCTCTTCTCAGATCCCTGGGCTGTCATCCAGGAGGGAAGGACCCTCTTTTTATGCCCAGAACAGCCGTGGGCAAACTACTGCCCGCGGGCCGGATCCAGCCCGTTTGAAATGAATAAAACTATTGAAAAAAAAAGACCGTACCCTTTTATGTAATGATGTTTACTTTGAATTTATATTAGTTCACACAAACACTCCATCCATGCTTTTGTTCCGGCCCTCCGGTCCAGTTTAAGAACCCATTGTGGCCCTAGAGTCAAAAAGTTTGCCCACCCCTGGCTCAGAATGTAAGGCTTCCATCTCTCTCTCTCGCTGAGGAAGAGTCAGGGCCCTCGCTCACTGACTTGCTTTTCTAACCCAGGACAGCAAATCGCACTCTCTCACCACACCAGGAGTTGTAGGTCTGTTTGTCCATGAATGGGAGTCAAGCTTTGATTCCTGGAGGGCCAGAGGCCGGGGACACAGGGGCATCCACGTGGGTCGCAGGGAGCCGCCTGCTGC